AGCCAGTGAACTAGCGGGTCTTCTAGAGCAGGGGTTCCCAAACTTTGCCATGCCAAGGACCCCCATATAGCATTATCCTCTGGCAGGGGCCCCCCTGTTTAAAAAAAAAATGATGTGTACAAGTGCCTCGCGATGGAGCATGCAGTGTGTTGCCACTACATTTTGGGCCTTCTGCCTGATCAAAGCTGTCACTCCCCTTTTTTTGCCTGTCATAGCCGCTGCCCCATCTGAACACACACCCAACGAGACCAGTCAAGTCCGTTTGAGATGATGTACTCATCTAAAACTTGGAAAATGTCTCTTCCTGTGTTCCTACCTTCCAGTGCTTTGCAAAATAATATTTCCTCAACAAAGTTGTCTTCTGAAATAAATCTGATGTATGCAAGCAACTCTGCGACATTTGCTACATCCATGCTCTCATCCAGCTGCAGAGTGAAACATTCACTAGCTCTCACTTGCTCCAAAAGCTGAGCAGATACTCAGTTTCACTCTCAGTAGCGTCAGCTCGATTCTGATTGGCTTGAAGGGTGGCCGTGTGATTCAAAAACAAAACATATTAAAATATTGGCATCAAAGGACACATAGATTTATAGATATACAGTTATTAATAACATCTAAAAAAATAAAATTTTAATTTAATTTATTTTTTAAATAAAAAATTCCGTTTCCCTCAAACTTTGCGTGACCCCCCTGGCGCCCCCTGGCGGCCCCCTGGGGGGGTCGGGGCCCCCACTTTGAAAAACACTGTTCTAAAGCACCTGGAACCGAGGGGAACTCTGAAAGAATACGCCCATTGGCTACAAATCAATATATGATTGGTTGATCAAACTGTCAGTCCAAACGCACGCTCTCATTCAGTGCAACGGCCAGGGCATTCGATCAAGGATGTAGAATACCTTGGTTGAAGGATATTCTACCCAGAGACCCAGAACAAGATCTAATTGGTTGCTTTCTTTTCTAACACAAAACCACTGAAATGCGTAGTGCATGGACCGAGAAGGACAAACAAATCAAGGTAACACTGTAATATTATAGATCAACAACACAGATACGATTCTCATTTATTCATTGTAGGCTATATACATTTTATTTCTATAATTAAATCGATATTTTGTTTGTTTTATCTGAGTGTTCCAGGGTATTCTCTGAATACCTTGAAAGCCCTGACGGTTCGCCACTGGATCACGGCAGCGTTTATCTGAGTTTCTCTCGCGGTAGTCATTCAGCGCTAAGGATCTCAGCCTGACGTTGAACCATAAAACCAAAATATCAGCCGTTAACAGCTAGCACTCAGAGCTCCTCATATCTGTTCAGAATAGACAAAGGTTCAACATGAACAAACCACAGACTTTCTGTGTCATGGCGAATACTAGTCGATGGTTTATTTATGTCTGTAGGACGTTGTTGTGAGTGTTGTTACGCCCAGATCTAGGGGAACCTAGGAGCAGCATAAAATGTGCCCTCTCTCCTCTTTTCCCACTCCCAAGAACATAGACAATGAGACAGTGAATGCCTTTTGGTAAATTGAATTACCAAAGTTTTCTTTTTAAGTGCAACAACACACAAAAACAAACAAATCTCTGAACACAAAAATCTTGCCTAACAAATAAGAAAATAAACATACAGGACTCTTACCTACACTGACGTAAAAACAGGAGAAAACGAGAACCAACCAAAATAAAAATGGTTTCAAACTTTCACGTAGACTTAAGGCGTGTCCAACAAGGACAGGTTAAAGTTATGTCTATCCTTCCAAGGTTTACAAAATATACCAAGACAGAAGTACAAAAGGACAGATACAAATACGCAACAGTTGGGAGCAGGAGAAGCTGAGTCGGAGAGAGCGGCGGAGTGACTGCATGGCTGCAGCTTAAATGCTCCCCTCTTCTTCAGGTGGACCAATCAGCCTGTTGAAGGTAGCTAATCAGCTAACGGGCACCACCTGCTTGCTCACACACACACACAGACACAGGAGGAGGGAAACATCTCGACACACAATACACATAACGACCAGGGTCGTAACAGTGTGGACGGAGCATATACAACGTTAGCTTAGCCTGATCAATCCGATCTCCATTCAGAAAACATGCAAAGGTTTTTCGCCTGCCGTCTTGTCTGGAGACTTGTCAAAGCATTAATTCATGGCTTTTACTAACCGGTATCAGAATGTTGTTACTTCAGCATCATTTTGAAACGTGTGTTCCAATTAAATCACGGTCAAATATGTTCATTTTGTTGTTGTGGTTCTAGCCCCCTGGCCAGCGAGTCTTGTTTGAATGATGCGAGTAAACACAGCTGACAGCCGCGGTGAAACTCGAGTGTTTAGAGAGCGATGCGATAAGAGCGATTGGAGCGAAGCGAATATGCGCATCGCGTCCGGTGTGAACGCACCATTAGGCACAGCGTCTGAAGGAACTAAATTACACATGCAGCATCATTATTTTTAGGATTAGTTTGCCTAGCCTACAAACAACCGTAACCCCCCACACTACATGGACATTGTTAATGTTAGCATGTGGCAACTTTGTTTAGCAGTTTAGCTGCTCAGTTGTCTGTTATAACATTGATTTGAAAAACCTTTTTTGTTTATATTCAAATCAATGCGATACAACATATATATTCTAATGCTATACAACATAAATATTCTAATGCTATACAACATATATATTCTAATGCTATACAACATAGATATTCTAATGCTATACAACATAACTATTCTAATGCTATACAACATATATATTCTAATGCTATACAACATAAATATTCTAATGCTATACAACATACATATTCTAATGCTATACAACATAAATATTCTAATGCAATACAACATATATTCGTATTGCTTTATTAAAAGTGATGATTTTAGGACATTGTAGTTAAACTATTGCTGTTGTAAGGACTTCTTCAGTTTGACTTTTGTCCAGGCTTCTTACTTCCATAACCCTAACTAGGGATGTCTCGATCACCTTTTTTTGCTCCCGATCCGATTCCGATCATTTGATTTTGACAATCTGCCGATACCGATTTTTCCCGATCCGATCTTTATGCAATGCATTAAGAGAAAAAAAAGGAAAAAAGCATTCAAGTTGTCCCTTAAGGTTATTTTTTTTATTTAAATGACAGTACCCAACTATCCATTCTATCCAACATGGATATAGCTTCTTTTTTCACAGCAGCATAGGATCAGTTCAGTTGTGCAGCATTGGATCAAAACAAAATAAAGCTTATCAGTGGTCCACCACAAAATAACCATGTCAACAAATTGAGTGCAGATAGTGCAGTAACAAAACAAAAATAACTCTACTGGAAAGAGGTAGCTTGACTAGCTTCACAAGTTCACATTCAGTCACAAATAATAAAATAAAATAAAAATGTGGCTTAGTGCAGAATTCTAGCCTTAAGACTAACTAGTCTAGTAATAATGCAATGAACAACAGCAGCTTAACATAACATGAATAAACAAAGTATTATATTTCCATCTTACTGGAGTAACACAATTCAATAGTAATCAGCAGCGAACCACTTCAACACGTGTGTTTCGGTGTATTCACGGCATTCATTTAGTTATTCTACACTATTGTTGTTTTATAGTTATTTGTTAATGTAACCCAATTTGTGTTCTTTGAAATTGAAAAGGATATCGCATTGTGTTTGTTACTTTTGTTGCAGTTGTATATGTCTTAAGTGTAATTTGGCTTGGCTTCCTATTTGTGGACATGCTTTTATTTTGAAGGAGAGGTAGCGCTGTTGACAGGAAGTTGTTGTTGCTATGGAAACAACGTGACGGAGATTAACGGAGAAAAGTAATATCTACATATAAAGACGGAGAAAGTTAACGATAACGTTTATGGTTAAGTGTTAGCACCCCCCGAAGACGCACAAGCTCTTACGTTGAAATTGGAGATTTCAATAAATTCAATTTGAAAAAAAAACGGGAAAAAACAAACAAAACGAATATCCGAATAACGAAATTGAAACCCGAATAGTACTCCAACGAACGAATATTCGGATATTCGGGTACAGCCCTAGTGCACTTTTGTGTTTGTTGTTGGTGTTTGTTTCTCAGGTGGCGTGTTAGATTGGTCGTGTTGAACGTAGCTCTGTTCTTTCCACCACGCGGAACCTCCGCCTTGCAAACATTGCATCTGGCTGTTACACGGCCTTCGCTTTCAATTTTATAATACTTCCAAACTCCTGATATTTTCTCTGTCCCGACTCCCGAGTCACCAGCTGAACGTAGCCTCTCGTTAGCTTACAGCTACTATTAGACACTGCGCCCACTCTGTTGCCAGATTTGAGAGAAATAAGCAACCAGATCTATGAAAACAAGCCCAAGAGAAGCAACACATACATGATGTTGTGTCATTTTGAACCAAAACTAAGGCCTCAGGATGACTTTGATTGATTGATTGAAAAGTTTATTAACAGCTTGTATATTGAGTACAGTACAGTACAGCTCAAAACATACAATTGTTAAGGGGATGCAGACCAGAGAAAGACTTTCGTCTTGTTTACATCAGGGTCCCCCATTTCCAATTCATCATATACTTTAAGACGTGAACATGGTCATTTTTGTTTTGTAACATTAAATAAAATATATATTTTTTAAATTATAAAAAAAAAAAAAGGATTCGCGATCCCCGATCTTTTTCTCCCGATTCCGATCTTTTAAAAATCACGTGATCGGCTCCGATCCCCTATCACGTGATTGGATCGGGACATCTCTAACCCTAACATCACTGGTGCTCCTGTCCTTAAGGAAACGGATCATTCTAGCCTCTAGAATGAACATTCTACAAGATTGATGTTGTTGTGTTAATAGTTTGGTGCTCGATTCTTTCATGCTCTGGCATTGGTTCATCTTACTGTGATCCGTAGTGAAGTTTGCTCACTTCTGACATTGGCTCTAAGGTCCTGAGAGACTCCATGTTGACATCATGTCGTTCTTGACTTCACAAGTCCCAGCTCCAATTTTATTAACTTTGGTCTTTCTTCATCAGAACCATGTGGAACAATGATGACCAGACGGGACAGGTGGCTGCCAGGATGGAGACTACTCTGGGCAGTGCGAGCATCTCCATCTCCCAGCAGCAAGCACCGAAGAAATTTGCCCCTGTGGTCGCACCTAAGCCCAAGTTCAACCCTTACAAACATGCAGGGGAGCACACCCACTCGGACCCTGCAGGTAACACCAGGAGAAACCACTCAATCACTATTTCCACTAGCTGGAGTTAATCTTAAAGCAGTCTTCACATGATACGTTTGTTAGCCAGCTAGCTAGTTTTGTTTCTATGGTTATCTCCCCTGTTTGCGTGCTCCATACAGTTGTCATCTGATTGGTTACATGTCGAAAGGTCGAAGGAAATCGAGGGCAAAGTTTAGTTCTTTGAGCGGCTCTCTCCAGAGCAGGGCTTCTCATTGCGCGGCTCGCGAGCCTCATGTGGTTCGCCAAGCTTTAATTGGTGGCTCGCATGACGGTAGGCTAAATAAAGGGGTGATAGACAGGGGTGCACATAACGAAGGTACGCATGCGCGGTAAGCATCTGAAATGCGTAATGTCACTTGTGTCACTAAGGGCCTTTGCTTACTTGATAGGTCATCAAAACAAAACACATATTTCGTCTACACGTGTTTCTTGTCAACACTCAGTGGAGTAAACTATTGACATGTCCACAAAAATCTAAAATACATTTAAGCAGCCACTTTGGCGTTTTGCTCCCTGCAATAAATCTTCGAACGTTCTTGGACTGATTGAACTGGGTGCTGGCCGAGCCGTGCAGGCCATAACCGACGGACCTGTGAAGCTTTACAGGAGGCAGGCTTAGATCACTGGACGACAGAGTTGGTGCCGTGTGCACAGACAGGGCTGCTGTTAACGTCGGTGTGTACAACAAAATTGTGCCAAAACTACGCCAACTGGCAAGGGAGACTCCCCTGTGCACATTCTGTGCCCCGTGCACACACTGGAGAACTGCGCAAAATCAGCTGATCGCAACGTTCATGTTCTGTGGTCAAGCTGCTGCAGTTTGATTTACAGCAAGGTGGAGCAAAAACCACAGCTGCAAACTTAGGGTGTTAATGGATGAGTTTGAAATCAGACAGAGGTGGAAGAAGTACTCAGATCTTGTGTAGGAATACTCTGTTAAAGTAAAAGTCCTGCTTTCAAAATGTTACTCAAGTAAAAGTAGAAAAGTATTCTCATCAAAATATAGTGAAAGTAGCGACAGTAAAAGTAGTCGTTGTGCAGATTGGTCCATTTCAGAATAATATATATGATATGTTTTATAATGATTGATCATGAAAGTGTTCTCAAAGCTGGTACAGGTGCAGCTAGTTTGAATGACTTTGTATACTGCAGGGTAGCTTGTGGATTTACTCCAGGTGGAACTAAAGTCTGATTTAACACTTGATTATATTTCACATCATTCATCCACATCTGTGAAGTAACTAAAGGTATTAGATACATAGTGGAGTAAAAGTACACAATTTACCTCTGAACAAGTAGCATACAATAGAAATACTCAAGTAAAGTACAAGTATCTCAAAATTGTACCTAAGTAGAGTACTTGAATAAGTGTACTTAGTTACTTCCCACATCTGAAATCAGATATGACTTCAAGTCATGTGATAATTTCTTAGTCACTACACTAATTCTCCTTGACCTCTCTGCAGCCTTTGACACCATCTCCCATAATATCCTCCTCACCCGCCTGTCTGAACTCCTTGGCCTCACTGACTCTGCCCTCTCCTTCTTCCACTCATACCTCTCGGACCGGATACAGTTTGTCACACACGCTGGTTGCAGCTCCCCCTGTGCTTCTGTCAACCATGGAGTCCCCCAAGGCTCGGTGCTCGGTCCCCTTCTATTCACAATATACATCCTTCCGATTGGTGATATCATCCGCAGCCATGGTCTCTGTTTCCACTCCTATGCCGACGACACCCAACTGTACATCAGCACAAAACCCTCTGCCCATCTCCCCCCTCAGTCACTAATCAACTGCCTACACAAAATTAAAACCTGGATGACCACCAACCTACTCAAACTAAACAGTGATAAAACTGAGCTCATGGTTGTGGCCCCCAAGGCACTGCTTGGGAAGGTTGGAGATCTGCTCCTCAACATCGACGGTTCCATCATCTCCCCATCCCCTCTGGTCCGCAACCTTGGTGTTGTCGTGGATTCAACCCTCTCATTTCAAAACCACATCAAATCCGTTTCAAAATCAGCCTTCTTCCACCTCAGAAATATTTCAAGAGTCCGGCCATCACTGTCCGACTCTGTTGCTGAGAAGCTGATACATTGTTTCATTACCTCACGAAAACCCTGAACAGGCTCCAGTACATACAGAACTCAGCTGCCAGGGTTCTCACATGCACCAAGCCCTGGGAGCACATCACCCCCACTCTCTTCAACCTTCACTGGTTCCCGGTCAAGTCCTGCATCACCTACAAACTCTTCCTCCTCACCTACAAATCCCTCCACGCCCTCTCCCTTCAGTACCTCACAGATCTCCTCCACCCATACATCCCGTCCCGCACCCTTCGATCCTCAGACTCCGGCCTGCTCTCCATTCCCCATTCACGCCTCCGCACCTTCGGGGATCGTGCCTTCAGTGTCGCTGCCCCCACCCTCTGGAACTCCCTCCCTGCAGAAATCCGCAACGCCCCTTCTCTCAACATTTTCAAATCAACCCTTAAAACTCATCTGTTCAACATCGCCTTCCAACAATAACTCACTCCCCCCCCCACTTACACTTCCATTTCTGCCCCCTGTTTTATGTTTATGTTTTTTATGTCTTGTCCTTGTATGTTTCTTTGTAAAGCGACCTTGAGGTTATGAAAGGCGCTATATAAATTCAAGTTATTATTATTATTATTAGTATTTGATCCTTCAACTTGGCCTCAGGAAATGCAAGGACTTCACAGTTTTGGCAACAAGTTTTTGAGACAGCAAATCGGAGGCTTAAACAGAGACAGGGAGGTGCATCTTCATCATCTTCATCATCTACCATGCAAGAAGTGGAAATAGAGGACAGTGAAGGAGACACTGAGGAGGACAGTGAGGAAGACTGCACTTATTAACACCACGCTTCGTGTGGGGTGAGTACCAAACGCCGTCTCCTGGTACTCATCTGAGTAACTCACTAATGCCCTTTTCATACCAACGCGGTTCCCGTTCTATCTCCGTGCTTGTGCTCTTCTGGTTCGGAACCGGTTTTTCTTTTCAGCCCCCGTTTTGTTCACACCGCCCAGAGCCCGACTGGTGCTGCTGCGTAATGATGTCCCCGTTTACGTCGGTGATTTTCTCCCCAACGGCGCTCACAACAACAACAACAACAACAACGGGGGACTGCGTCGGGTCGATGATCGTGTTGCTTTTAATAATACGAAGCCAGATTAAATTGAATAACGACTTCTCCAACCTTATACTTTGCTCCAGAGTGCCGTGGTTCTTTGTTTATTAATGTGTTTCGGCGGCATTTACCGACCACTGCAGTGCTGCTCTTCCACCGGAGTTTATTCTCCCGTTAGCTCCGGGTTAGCTCACACGGCAGCGGCCGCTGTAAAGTATTCACTGTCTGACTGTCACACAAGCAGCTGATACATATCCCCAGTTCCCCATAAGTGAATGTGTTTCAGTCTGAATTGAATCTGTTTGGCATCACAACGCTGCGTATTTTTCATTATGATTCTACTTGTGATAGTCGGACATGACAACCTGTGGAGCCCATGTATTGATTCCATCCGATAGCTGCTATAATACAAAACAACACGTCTGCCTGCTCTCCACAATGATCAATAACAGCGAACGGATGGTCAAAGTAAGGTACAAATAAACAGAATCACACGAAGTCTGGTTAGTGTTGCCTGACTTTATAAAGTGTGTTTTTTTTACAAGTGTGTGGTTGCGTTCTAGTCACTTTGCTCAGCGCTACTGCCTATTTAAACTTTTATTTGCCGTACTCGCCTTTAACTGTTCGCTCAGGTTAATCTCGCCCCCCTCCGACGTAAGCGTGACGTATGCGGTTCTTGCTTCTACACTTTTTTGGCACCGGATTTCGGTGCTTGGTAAGCACCGGTTTTCGGTGCTTAGAGCAGGCTCCGCTGCGGTGTGAACAGGAAAAAACCAGTGCTTATCAGGCTCTAGCTCCGAACTGGCCCAGGAACCGCATTGGTGTGAAAGGGGCATAAGAAAGTTATGTGCACCCCTGCTTATTAATAATAATACATTTATTTTATATAGCGCTTTTCCGAGTGCTCAAATACGCTTGACATTATAGTATTGGTTGGCTGCATTGCATATTGTATGTTCTGGGTGGGATGACAGATTAATAAGCAGACATGCTTATTATAACTGTATGCAGCTTTTTATACTTTGCGGTATAAGTGGCTCTCCTATTGACTTTGTCCTATCAATGCGGCTCGCATGTAAAAAATAGTGAAGACCACTGCTCCAGAGGAACAACGGCAACGTTAGCGCAGAACTGCTTTAATGACGCTCCTGAAGGCAGCTGAGAACTGTCGTCTTCACTGTTCTGCCTGATCAGACCGGGTCCAGACTGTCCAAAATCTCTTTCATTACAAACATCTGACTTTTTCTCCATCTTTGGTTTCAGTCCCCAATCATGTTCCACTTCTTCTTAACTGAGTTATTTCTCTGAACAATGAAGTGTGCAGCTCTCCGTCAGGAACACATTGACCTGAGTGCTCGTGTCTTGTATTGATTGTGGGTAAAACACCAGCTTTATATGTCTTAATATTTCAATTTAAAAGCAACTCTTTCAAACACAATTATTGAAGAATATTATGGTATTAGTTCAAGTAATACACATCACATAGCAGAGCTATTTAGCATTACTTTTATAGAGCAATCATTTGATGTATTTATACAATCCTAAAAAGCTCATTGATATAAAAAGAGGGCTGGAGAACAGAATCGTATCATACCTAATGATGCTGATCACGGTCACACTGCTTCATCCATCCCTACTGTAATTATTGTTCATTGCAACACAGATCTTTTATTATGTTGTGGCCATTGTTTCTATCAGAACATTGGATTGTTAAGGTGTGCTCTGACTGAACACAAATATTCTGCTTAATTATCCTTTGAGTACAGATCGATGGTGTGTGAATTTAGTTGGCAGCTGGTCCTCTGATGGATACACATCAATATTTTGT